CCACCACCACGGTTTGCTCCACCAATGCTAGTGTGTCTGCCTCCCCTACTGCCACCGGCACTGCTGCCTCCACCACCACTGCTGCCGCCTGGATGAGCAACTGCACAACCGAGGAGGAGGAAGCAAATGACTGAAAGCCCAAGAACAATTTTTTCTACATGCTGCATCTTTCGTTTCTTTTCAACAGTTCCAAGACTGGAATTCCCCAAAAAGAGAGAATGGAAAGTTGAAACTTATAATTAATTAAACTTCCAATGATATGTCCATATGGTCTATTTATATGCATTATAAGTAGCACACGTATGAGCAGATCAACCGTCCAAATTAAAAGGAAATCAAGATGGACATCAATATCGTGATTTCATGGAGTTCTTATCTGTCAAAGATAAGAAAAATAATAACAACCAATCATTTAAAATTTCATTATCCTTCACTTTTTATTAGAATGAAAAGAAATTTGACTTTAGCTTTGCTCAATGTAACGTAATAGTCTCCAATTTTTATTTTTTATTTTTATTTTTATTTTTTATTTTTTTTTAAGTTGTACTGAATCTTTTGAGTTTTGAGCAAGTTGATGTCCAACCTTTATTCGTTTACTTGACCAATGAAAAAGACAAACTATTATTAATGTGTTATAAAGATTTTTTCTTATTTTTACGAATCATATATTAGATAGACATAATTAATTGATGTATCAAAAATAAGTTTATTAAAATTTCTATGTATTGTATGAAAACTGAAAATTAATCCTTAAGGCCTACGTCAATGATGCAACTAAAGGAATAAAGCATAAATTATTAAATATGACCCTGCAATAGAGGTAGACGCGCCACTGTTTTTGGGTGGCCACCGGCCAATCGGCGCACCACGGTACTGCAGAGGTGAAGAGGACACAAATTATTGAAATCACTAGAACAACATTTTACGGCTTGCTACACTGATCAAAATCTATTCTCAAGATCTCAAGAAATGAATTTTCATTATTTCTTTGAGAATAAATGGAATATTGATTTTTTTTCCCTTAATTTTTTTGTTTCATTCTTATAATTAACTTTCTATTTAGCACTATAAAATACTTATTTGTTCCTCGTATTATTAAATAAGAAAAAATATCAAAAAACCAAAAATTCTACAAATATTTGATTTTATTTTAAAGCACGATAATATAATAGTTAAATATTAAACCATCATCAGAAAAAAGATATGCTAATTAATTGATTGCAAGACATAAGAATGAGAAGAGAAGGCTGAATATATTTGCAACATTTGTTTTTTGAGTTAATTTCTTTTATGGTAACTTCACTGCCACTCAAATTTTAAATGAGTCAATACATTTTAATTTGTGCCAATTAAATCACTATACTTCAGTTTTAATTTGGATCACTCTTTTTAATTTTGTCATGGTCACCATCACGATTCCTATTAATTTGGTATTTGGATCACTCCTTTTAATTCTGTCATAGACATCGTCACGATGCCAAACATGAAATGCTGATATTGCATCCATTGTGACAAGTAACTCTACGCCAACTCAATGTGGAATTTTTGTAGACAATCTTCATCTACGTCTAACCCACTATTCACTATTGATGGGTTAGAGTAGATGAACTAGAATTTAGAATATCGCAGAAATTCGAACTTAAATAATACCAACTCCACGACACATAATAAATGTCGCTTTTCTTAAGACGTTATTTACCCCCAACCAATTTGTGATGCACACGGGAATGCTTCCAAAGATTCAATAAACCTCTTAGTATTGTTTGGGTTGTACATCCATTGAAAACAACCTGAACATCGAGGAATTTGAATACTATACTAGAAGCTTGTACTTTATCTTTGTAGTATGATGAAGTGCAAAAAAATATTTAAAAAAAAAAATGTAATGCCCTGCTACAGGAGCGACTGTTTTCAGAATTCGTCCGCCAATTTGCTATACGATGACCATATCTTGTAATATGAACAGTCTAAATTGATAAGACCAATGAGTTTATTGATCTTTTGAACTCTCTTTTAATATGAAACCTAGACCCATTATAAATATAAAAAATAGTTTGAAGTGATATGCAATCATATGATAATACATGAATGACATAAATTGTAGTATATGAATTTGAGGATCCTATGGATAATGGGTGGGAAGTTGCGTTAAAGGATCCAGCGTTGGAATAAGATATGTCTCAAAATACACGTTTACTCTAGACAACTTTTGTCTAAACAACATGATTTTTATCTGACAAAACAATTTCTAGTAAGAGAAACATATACTGTAGATTATGTTTCTATATGAAAAGACACACTCGTTGAAAAATGACAAGTTCAAAAGTCATGATCTTTGTGACACACCTTTTCAGTCAATCACATTCTACAATATTTCGTCACATGTCATACCTGAATTAGTAGAACATTCAATCATGCGAATTTCAATTTTCAACAATTTTCAAGTGTTAAGCGTCTCACTCTTAACATAATCATTCACCCGAAATTGATACGAAAAGTTACCATAATCCATTTGTGGAGTCGAACAAGTTGCACCTTCAAACTCTCGTAATCGACTAATGGGTCTCAATTAATTAATTGGTTAAATAGAACACTTTGAACCAATTTCCAACATTGTCATTGGATATGGGTATGGGGTGCACTACAGTGCCGACGCTGCCACCACCACCCCTCGCTCCTTCCTTTACCTCCACCAGCGCCCCGCCTTGTTCTTCCACTGCTGCCCTTGCTCCACCCTCCCTTCACCCCCACTCCACCCCACGAGCAACTATAGAGGTGAGTAGGAGACACGTAGTATGAAATACTTATCATTATTTTTGTCATGTCCATAATATTAAATAATGATCCTTATCATATAAATAACTTATTTACCAATTGGGTAACGTACTGTCTCATTTTCACTTCATATACAAAAATATAGGGAATGAAACCTTTTGGAAATGTAATACAATAGTTGATGTTGGGATGTCGAAAATAATTGGCCACTTCATCTTTTGATCATAAAAATATTTTATAGCGTAGCAGCTGATAAAAACTTAGGAATGTCAGACACCTTGCTCGAATAATACTCTGGTTGAATATGGTTTGATATGTCTTCAAGAGTTGATATACTAGTCACACCTGCAAACACCGCAACAATATCAGTGTCTCGTATGCTCGTGAATCTTGATACCCTCGGTTTTTCTACTCACCGAGCAATGGGTCTTAACAAATTATGCTCAAGAGAAGTTTACAAGTAACGAGAGATGACCTGAAAGAACGAGAAGAGTTCTGCATCCAGCATTCAGTCCAAATAAAATATCCGTGTCCAGTCTATCCCCTACCATACACATTCTGGAAGTAGGGATATTGAATCTGTGGAAAAAAAGAAGAGAAAAAAAGAAGCTCAAGGCAGTTCGTCCATAAACAGATTTACCCGGGACTAACTAGTTTTCAACATTATCACATATGAGTGTTCAAAAAAACAATAAGCTAGAGATAAAGTAGCTTTACTGCGTGAGTTTCACCTACTTTTTTAGTAAAAAGTCCATCATAAAGATTGATGGTTTTCCAACTACAATAGGCTCTTTCTGAGTCGACCCACACATGGCAGCAACCATACATCCAGCACCTGTAACCAATAGAAAACTTAATTCCGAAATTTTCATGCCAGTCAAAGAAGCAAAGGTGTAAGCTTACCAGGCCATTCTTGCAGATTAGTTAGATGTCCAACTGCATCACGGTTAGTGGCAATAAAGAGACATCCTGGATTCTC